AGCACCACCCTCACTGGGGTGTTGTGAGGATGGAATGAAATAGTGCATTTAATGTGCTTACCGGGGGCCTAGCACAGTCACTGTCCCACATGTGCTGGTTGCTAGTATGTTACTGGTAGGAGGCAATGCTGCATGTGGCCAACTGTGTGAGATGTTGCAGAGAATTTCAGAAAGTCAGGAATGGGAAAGAGCCCTTTGGAGTTGGAGCCAATGTCATGGGTAAGTATGAGGAGAGCAGCTTTATGACAGTGGTAGGAAATAAAGAGATACATTTGGTCATGAAAGTGAAAGAAAAATGGAAACGGCAATTAGGACAAATATCTGACAAGGTTAGTTGGAAATAAAAAAGAGATTTAGACTGGTAGGTAGAAGAGACAGCAAAAATCAGGGAGGGGGAGTGTTATTTTAAGTAGAGGGATGGCCTTTCTCTATTTGCAGAATCTAGAACAGAAGAGATATATAAAAGTGCTGGAAAGAGGGGCAATAAATGTGGGTTCAGTTGGTGTCTGACACAGCCCCATTGACCCTTCCTGCTATCTAGCTAAGAAGAGGCAGCGGGACCTACTGCTGGGCTAAGAAGAGACAGAGAAAATAGACTTTCCTACCAAAACAGCATCCTGGCTCTCCTATTAAAACCTAGCAAGGTGCTGGGGCACCTGGGTGGCTCAATCACTTCAGCTCAGGTCATGATCTCATGGCTCCTGAGTTACAGCCCTGAGTTGGGCTCTTTGTTATTAGTGTGGAGCCCACCTCGATTCCTGTCTCCCTCTTTCTCTGCCCCTCCCCAGCTTGTGCTTTCTCTCTGTCTCAAACAAAAACAAAAACAAATCAACAACAACAACAACAAAAACCCCACACCCAGCAAGGTGATCTGGGAAGACTTGAGCCCTGCCTATGCACTATTGTCCATAGGACCTGACTCTGGTTACGTAGCTTCTCTGAAATGGCTTCCCCTCCTGGACAGGGAAGGTAATACTGCCACCCTGGCAGAGGTGCCTTAAAAATTAGAGATGATGCATATAAAACACCTGTGACTGCCTAGGTGATAAGTAAATGGCAATTACAGCATTGTCAGTGCGTCTTATTTATACTCTAGCCTCCAATTTTATAAGGGATTTTCTTGAAAACAATGTACTTGCTATCAAACATGTATTTGACAAATTATTTCAAGAGGTCTTGTAAAGAACAACTTCTATGGAAGTACAATATATTCCATACTGGAAAATTGAAGGAGACAATCATAAGTTCAGGAGAGCAGCATCACCACATGACTTCGGTGCGCAGTTGTCCTGCCAAAATACAGGTCCACCAAACATAGGGTAATTCCTCAGTATGAAGTAGGGACAGGCTGGGAGGGCACCAGAATTGTTATTTTTAAGAAATTTCTTCTCCTCCTCCTCCTCCTTCCTCTTGTTCTTCTCTTCCTTCTGCTCTTTCTCCTCCTCCTTTTCTCCTTTATTATCATCATAATGGAATATTATCAGAACTGGGGTTCTATTTAATTGAAGTTTCTGATTAATTGAGGTGGATCAGATAACCCCTGTCTTTTCCACATTTGTGAAGCATCACTCTGCGACGTATGAACCCACTATATTGTCTAGTAAGTGTTATCATGGAACATGATTGGGTCTTTCTTTGACGATTCAGGATCCTACAGTGCCACAGGGTGGCCAATACAAACATTAACAGGAAGTAGAGTTCTGTAGGAAAATGAAGAAGGTTGAAGGAATTGGGCCAAATTGGATCCAGGACATAACCTCTTTATAAACTCTTTTTCACAAGTTTCTTCTAAAAGTCATTCTGATCTCTTGAAATAGGCCTGGAGTAAAAGTCATTCTGGCTTGCAACTGAAGTTTGTTGGGTTCTGGTTAATCTAATGTAACCAGGGAGTCAAGAGGGCTCCCTAGGTGTTTATTTCTCTTAGGCTCCATGATGACTTCCTGGAAATCCATTCTGTCTTCTGCCAGGCTCTGGGTTCAGGGCCACCTGAATATCTGGTGCTATTGGCTACTTGCTTCCCTAACTTACCATCTTGTCCTATCCTGCCTCATTATTGAATATGTACCATTACAATGGATCAAAATTAAAACATCAGCACAGATTTCTGTTTATATCCCTAACCGTGTGACAATTACATCTTTTCTTGTGAGATGTTTTGCCATTTTTACAAGCCTATAGTAAGAAGAGATCATTTGCATTTCAAAATAAGAATTCTGCTAGTAGAGAATCCACACCAAGAAAACAGGATCACAGATTATTTTCTAACAGTGATAGCACTGCAAGAACAGCACATCTTAGTTGAACAAGTAGCTTTTTAAGGAGTAAATTATAAGCATACAGGTTTCTTTTTACCAAGGGACACTAACTGGCATTCCAGTCTTTGGCTGAACCATATAAGAAGCAGGCCCATCAAAGAGAATTTTTTTTTAATTTTTTAGTTTATTGTCAAGTTGGTTTCCATATAACACCCAGTGCTCATCCCAACCACTGCCCTCCTCCATGCCCATCATCCCTCCTTCCCCTCCCCCCATACCCATCAGTCCTCAGTTTGTTCTCAGCATTCAAGAGTCTCTCATGGTTTGCCTCCCTCCCTCTCCCCAACTATTTTTCCTTCTTTTCCCCCATGGTCCTTTGTTAAGTTCCTCTTAATCCTCCTATACGTGCAAACATATGGTATCTGTCCTTCTCTGCCTGACTTATTTTGCTCAGCATAACACCCTCAAGTTCCATCCGTGTTGCTACACATGGCCAGATTTCATTTCAAAGAGAAAATTTATTAGCTCTCTCAAGAAAAGACTTTTATTACAATAAAATTAATTTTTTAACATATTTGCTAAACTATGTAATTTCTATGCTGGTTCAAACATTTCTCCACATACTTTTGGTTCTTTTTTTTTTTTTAATGTTTTTTTTATTTATTTCTGAGAGAGAGAGAGACAGCATGAGCAGGGGAGGGTCAGAGAGAGAAGGAGACACAGAATCCAAAACAAGCTCCAGGCTCTGAGCTGGCAGTCAGCACAGAGCCCAACGTGGGGCTCGAACCCACGAACCACGAGATCATGACCTGAGCGGAAGTTGGACGCTTAACCGACTGAGCCACCCCGGTGCCCCCCTTTTGTTGTTTTTTTTTTTAAAGCATCACTAAAACCCTATGTCTTCTCTCCAGAAGTTTAACCATTTTTGGACTGGAACATCTAATTCCAAGAAGTTCACAAGGATGTGGGTGAGTCTCTGTGGTGGAAATTGTTCTCATATTTAAAAAGTTAAATCATAGAGCCTATTCCATCTGGAGACCAATATCCAAGAGAGTCCTTTTTATACAAGGGTAGATCAAGTCACAGAGCATTCCAGTGTTGCCACAATATTGTCTTATTGGAAAACATGTTCTATTAGGTCTGATCTATATTTTGCAACCACACTTTTCCCCAAACTCACACACAATAAATTCCCAAGATTTATTCATGATCTCAAGAGACAGGAACAATGGGCACTTAAAATTGTCCCCCCTAAACCCTCTTGACATCTTGAGTCATCTGGGAGCCCCACCAGCCTAGAAATGAAAGAGCAGTAAGAAGACGGTGTCATTTGTGCCTGTAGTTGGGAAAATGCAACTTCACTTCGGGGTGAAGTCACAGCATTCCAAATGCCCACTAGATGGCACCATTGTATCCCTGCAAGCGTGGTAGAGTGTCCTGGGCAGTTCTGCAGGGTCTAAAGTAAGGGAACATTTGGACACTGGTGAAAAGCCAAAGGACACCCAGTACGGGAATGAAGAGTGTTGCACAGAGAATATAGAAAGTTTAGGGAATAGAGATCTGGGTCAGCTTCCAATTCAAGAATTGTACTTACAGAAGTACTATATATTTTTATATATTGAGGTGCTGGTTACTTCTTGAGAAAGACAGAAGTGAAACTTATAGGTCCTTTTCATTTGAGTTAAGTTTCCTTATGGCTTATCCTCATATCATTTGCCAAGAAAGCAAACTGAAATCAGAGATATCTTTTGGGAAGAAAGTTTCAGGCCAAACCCATACATAGCCCAGTGCATCCTCTCTGACCCAAAAGACATAATCCAGTGGAAGATAATTTGCAAACATCAGTTATCTGTACTGTTACTACTTTGGATCATTAGAGTATCACTGGACATTGTGAAAGAAAAATACGGTCTCTTTTTCATTTTTTTTTAGTCTAAATAGGCTGGTTTCAGGGATCTGGATGCAGTGCTTCAACACTTGGGAGGTTCAGGGATGTGTATATTATACTGGAAATTTTATTTTTAAAAGGTTCTTAGTGTCTTCACATGCCCCTGCTCCCCACCCCTGGCCTCCTCCAGCCCTCCTACTCCTGGGTACCTCCAGAGCATAAGGATTTTTGAGCAACCTAAATCAGGCCATACTGATTCCCTTTTCCACGAAGAGTCCTGCTTTTATCTTAGGGAAAAATTCTAGGCCCTTTGGCTTAAGTGAGATACGTTACCAGAAAAAAACAAGCAGTATCTTCCTTTGATATGGGCTCTAATTCATGTAGGAACATAGGCAGTCAGTTCAAGTAACGTGCCAGTGTGGGCCCTGAAGTCTAGGGCTGGAACTTTGAGAAGATCAAAATTAAAAATAAATATATTATACAAATTAGACTAAAAATTTAAAACAACAGCACTCATTACTAAAAATATATATTGGAATATCCTTTTCAAAAAACAATATGCAAAGGACCTTAGGATACTTCTAATCTTTAACCTGCTAAGAACACATATGAGACTTATTCTAAAAGAACCATTCAACAGGAAAAAAAAAAAGCCATAAGTGAAATATTCTTTGCAACGTTATCTGTAATTCCAGAAAATTAGAAAAACTAAATGTCAAACAATATATATGATTAGTGGTTAGATAAAGGTATACCTAGCTACTCGATGAAAATATGTGCAGCATCACAAATGAAAATAAACATCACTTAATAAAATTTTAAAGTGCTAATTTCAGAAAGTAGAGAGAAAAGCAATGATCTGCATTGCTAGGTAGGCCGGGGCTGTTCCATTCGGTTCGAACAATGAGGCTTCTCTCCAAACAGTACCCTGTGGCCAGTGTGTTCAGGGGACAGTGAGTAGATTCAGGGATGTCTGTGTCTCTAGAGCGGTCTTGTAATCGGCATCTGTGTGCCTGGTCAGTACACTTTTGTATTATTGCAAAAGTGAGCTTGGTGTTAGGATGTCGGTGACAGTGGCCTTGGCTTCCAAATGACTGGCCACATAGTCTCATGAACTCTCTGAGAGCTCTCCTGTACTGCTGAGTGCAACCTGCAAAATGGAAACAAAGAAGTCACAGCTGCCCCACCCCCCACCCCCCCCACCCCATCTCCCATCCCCATTTGTCACTGATCTGAATTAGTGGAACAAAAGATGCTATAAAGAAGGAAAGGAACGCCAACTTTTCCCTGATTACAAAGCGGCATCCATTTTGCAGATTATCAACCTTGGGGATTATATAGGGTGAAAATTTGCTTTCCCCATAACTGACTGACCTCCTCCCATGATCCCATAGACTTCTTCTCTTCCTCTCCCTGTTATGTACACAGACTGCAAACGAATTTTCATATTAGTGCAAATTATACACAATTAGGGAGTCAATTTGGTAAAAATATAAATCACATCACGTAACCAAAACAAAATATTAATAATATATGGATTGGGTTATAAATTCTTTAGAACGTGTGTGTGTGTGTGTGTGTGTGTGTGTGTGTAAGATCTTCTCTTCAGGAGTCCAAATATTGATAGTTAATTGTATATTGATTTTTGTGCAGATACAGTATAATATAAGCTGATAAAGTTCCAGGTTCCTAACCACACAGCCATCAGAGTCACAGCAGTAAGACAGGGACAGGTTCCCCTGACTCAGCGAGCTCTTTCAATATCAGTTTTTCACCTTGAGACAGAAAATGACTCCTACAGCTTTATTTCCTAGTGAGCCCCCTGTTGCCATCCCCCTCCATTGGGTGAACAATCAGTATGAAGCAAATTCAGGTAGGTTGTGGTTGTCTACAGACGTCAGTGAGAGAAGCTTTACTTGTTTTGTGCATTATTTCTTGTGTAAGTTAGAATAAAATATTCTAAATTATCTAGAAAAGGTAAACTCTGTCTTTGTAACCAATATGGATGGAAAAGGCATTGCTGGTGAGTTATTAAGATAAATTTAAATGCCATCTAACCTTCATAGAGAGGCTTTTCTTTTTCTTTTCACTTTCAACATAAGAGCTACTTACATTTTGAATTGTCCTTTAAATGCTGGTCATGTTTAAACCTTGTCAAGATTTGAGGTTTAAGTGGAAAAGTGACAGAGGGGCAGGTTGTGAAAATTTTTTAATGTTTTATTTCTGAGAAAAAGAGAGAGAGAGGCAGCTTGAGTAGGGGAGGGTCAGGACAGAAAGGGAGACACAGAATTTGAAGCAGGATCCAGGCTCTGAGCTAGCTGTCAACACAGAGCCGGACATGGGGCTCAAACCCACAAACTATGAGATCATGACCTGAGCTGAAGTCAGACGCTTAACCGACTGAGACACCCAGGCACCCCATGGGCAGGTTGTGAATTAAGTGCTATTTCAGTGAAAACTGTCATGGAATTCCCTTGCTACTTACCTGTCCGTAGGTTGCTCATAGGGGCTTGGTGGAGGTGGGGGACAGGGGCCAGAAGACAGAAGGATATCTGAGCTTGAGAGGGTCACCTTGCAGAGACTATTATCAGCAGCATGTTACTCCCAGAGGGCCAGGCCTCAAACAGTTCCCTGTGACAAAGCCAGCATCTAGAAGGGAAGGAAATTAAAAACAAAAACAGGCATCGCTTTCCTGGATTACTTTTCTTTCCTTTTATTGCAATGGTTTTATACATGAATGAGCTACATTATGCCTCTGTAGCCAAAATAGTTTCTGTCTTATGTTTTTCCTATGGTGGATCAATTGGAACTCAAGCCTTCAGAGTTTAAAAAGCTGTAACACTCTTTGAGGAAGCCAGGACTGAGAGCCTGTATTCCTCAGTAAATCACCACCGTGTTCAGGCTTGGAACTAGGCCAAGAATATAACCTCCCCCTGGAAGACAACAAAAGGTTCCAAAGGTCAGATTTCTTATTAGCAACTTCAGGACATGAAAGTCACATAATCTTTTTAAAAAGTTGATTAAAAAGAGTTAAAAAACAGCATCACTCTGGAAATTAGATGCAATATGTGCCTTCCTGTGCCAGCCAAATGATTAGCTAATGGTCTGTGCATAACCTCTACTCACAGACACTGAAGAGATTTCTTCCAGGCCTCTCTGCCATCTCTCTGATATTGACAAATAGGTAGAATCATGTTTTAGCATCTTGTTCAAAGAAACATATGCATAGAGGGCTCTACTCTGCAATTTCAGCAGATTTTCTTTTTCCCTTTTGGAAACTGCTTTTTTACTTTTTTTTTTTTTTACAAATAGTTTATTGTCAAGTTGGTTTCCGTATAACACCCAGTGCTCATCCCCACAAGTGCCCTCCTCCATGCCCATCTCCCCCCTCCCTCCCCACATCCATCAGTCCTCAGTTTGTTCTCAGCATTCAAGAGTCTCTCATGGTTTGCCTTTTGAAATAGAGGGATCATGGGAGACATGACCGGTCAGTCTGTCTTACAAGTTTTTTAAAAGCTTATTTTATTTATTTATTTTGAGAGAGACAGAGAGAGTGGAAGCAGGGGAGGGGCAGAGAGAGAGGGAGAGAGGGAGAATCCCAAGCAGGTTCCTCACTGTCAGTGCAGAGTGACTCAGGGCTTGAATTCATAAACCATGAGATCGTAACCTGAGCAGAAATCAAGAGTCAAACGATTAACTGACTGAGCCACCTAGGTGTCCTTACTTAAATTTTTAAACGGAAGGTTTAAAAAAAAATACAGAGATTACTAAGAACAACATATGAAATCCATGTATTCAGCACTCAATTTAATAAATAGGATTTGTTGTATTTTTTTTTTTAAGGAATACAAAATTTAAAAGAAACACAAAGTCGTGCATTTCCTCTTCCTGGCTCCATTCTCTCACCCTCCCCAAATGAATCACTGTCATGAACTTGGTATGTGCCTGGTCAATGTTTCTATACTTTACCATTATACAGAAATGTATGCAAAAATAATGGATTTTGTGAGTATTTTATAAAAGTATATAAATGTATGCCTCATACTTGTTTAATGCGTTCCACCTTTAATTTTCTTTCTCATTCTTGTTTTTGATCCCCATTATATAACCATGGATTTGGTCAGTAGATTTATTCCATCCTATGGACTATGCAATAATCTATCCAATTACCGAGTCCAGATTCCTGGGCATTGAATTATTTCCATTTTTTTAATCTTTACAACTAAAGATACTAAAGATATCTTAAATGTCTTTAAGATATTAAAAGAAACATTCTTTTTTTTTTTTTAATGTTTTTATTTATTTCTAGGAGAGAGAGAGACAGCATGAGCAGGGGAGGGTCAGAGAGAGAGGGAGTCACAGACTGAAACAGGCTCCAGGCTCTGAGCTGGCAGTCAGCACAGAGCCCGACGCGGGGCCCAAACCCACGAACCGCGAGATCATGACCTAAGCGAAAGTCGGACGCTTAACCGACTAAGCCACCCAGGCGCCCTAAAAGAAACATTCTTGTTCACACTTCCATGTGCAACTGCACAGGGCTGGCTACATAATTTGCTCACCCCGTGCACAGTGAAGCTCTAGGGCTGGCCCAGCCCCTGTTCAAACCATAGGGAAAATGTGCTCTCAAAGGTACTAAAATATGAAGCTTTTTATTTAAAAAAATTTTTTTAAATGTTTATTTATTTTGAGAGAGAGAGAGAATGAGTGGGAAAGGGGCAGAGAGAGAGAGGGAGATACAGAATCCAAAGCAGGCTCCAGACTCCAAGCTATCGGCATGGAGCCTGACATGGGACTGGAACTGACGAGCTGTGAGATCCTGACCTGAGCTGAAGTCCGATGCTTAACCAACTGAGCCACCAGGTGCCCGTAAGCCTTCTCCTTTCTCCCATATTCATTCTCTCTCTCTTTCTCTCAATCTATCTCTCTCTCAGTTGTCATGGTGCTTTTTATTTGCCATCCTGATGTTGTTCTAAGAAAAATTAAAAATGTAAATTATTATCATGAGTTTTACCTTTTATCATTATCTTGTGCAATGACAAGTTTAAAATGCAAATAGAAGCATATTTAACACTTATGGGGAAATCACTGAAATTACACAATTTGCATTTTGTGACTCCTATGTGCATAAATATTTCATTTTTACCAGATCAGTGAAAACACTGCACAAAGCTAATTGAACTGCCTTTACCTCACTTGTCAATTCGTACACTTTCTAGCCACACTCTCTGCCTTCAGCTTACTGATGAGTAAGGAAGGACAGAAAGGGAAAGGAATTGAGATGCTCCCTTTTCCTTTCCTTCTGAGTTGGACATACGTGGCCAGTTAATACAGGGAAGTTACATACATGGGAAGTAACATGAGTAAAAAAGAATACAATAGAGTTCTTCCGTTGCTCATGCTTTCTTTCTGCCTTTGTAGCAAGTTCTGGTTCAGAGGGAAAGCATGGCCTTTTGGGGCCGTCGGCTCCCCTGTTACTCAGTCCTGCACATCACACTCTTACTCTGCTCTGACTCTGAGACCTGCATAACTCCCATGTGTCATGATTCAGCCAGAATTCTGTGACCACCCTGCATCCTGAGTGCTGTTAGTGAATGCAGCTGCAGGGAAGGGGGGCGGGGGGTATGCAGGTATGCACACTGCACCCCTGCCCTCTGCTCATGACGTGCTCCTTTGTCCCATCCAACTTAAAAGCACAATTTCAGAAATGAAACTGTTAACAATTTCAAGACAGTGAAAGCAGAGCATTAAACAAAGCACAGGGGCCTCCTGAGAACAGAGCCCTGTAGATCACACACGCCTGAGAGCTGGTCCTGAATCTGCCCGAGAGTTTCTCTGGGACATAGATCTGCAAACGGGTTTCTGAGTGGTTCTGCGCATCGTTGGTTTTACCCTGATGTTACCAAAATGGGCTCTAGAAGGGCTGTGCAAATATACACTAATGCCAGTAATATGTGAAAATTCCTATTGGCCCGTATTCTCACACGTACTTAATAGTGATATATTAGTTTTTGCCAATTGTATTATTTATGTTGTAGTTTCCCCATGAGGTTGAACATTTTTTCATTTTTTTTCCCGGATGGTGTGTGTCTCTCTTCTGTGACCTGCTTGTTCTAATAATCTTTCCCATTTATTTACTAGGTTGTGTGTCTTAAGGTATTGAATTGTAGGAGTTTTTTGTTCTGTTTTGCTTTTTTAAAACATTCTAAGTTCTAATCTTGTTATGTCTCTTGCCAATATTTTCTTCTCACAGGCTTCTTTTAAGTTTGTAAGTGAGGTCTTTTTTCCTACAAAAAAATTAATTTTCTGGCAGCCATATTTATCATTTTCGCATTGTTATTTCTATTTTTTAGAATAATACAAATAGAATTTAATAATCATTAGAATCTTTTTTCTGTAGAATTTTTAAATTATTTATTTATTTATTTTATTTATTTTAAAATTTACATCCAAGTTAGTTAGCATCTAGTGCAACAATGATTTCAGGTGTATGTGTCTAAGATCACAAAGATATTCCCCTATATTTTTTCTAATAGTTTAAAGATTCTTTAAAATGTTTTGTTTTATTTTAATCTTTAGGTACTTAAGCCATTTGGACTTTGTTTTTATGTACAGGGCAAAGTAGGAATTTAACTTTATATTTGTTTTAATGTTTAAAAGGTTATTTATCCTAACACTGTTTATTAAGTAGTCCATCACCTCCTCCACTGATTTCCATTGGGCTGTTTCTCAGATCTCCGTATTATTCCACTGGTCTCTATATTTCCCACTTACTAGCAGAGCTTTTACTGAGTACTGATAGCTGGAAGACCGAGAACCCAGTACTTTTAAATAATACCAGTTCTATTCATTGAGAAGCACAGAAACAATAAAACAAAAACAAACAAGTTTTCTCACTTTTGGGGATGCATCAAGAAATTCTCCAAGCCATCTAGCATGAAAACACAATGACTTTGAAATCAGACAGACTTGAGTTCTTATCCCAGGCTTGTTATTTTCTGGCTGTTTGAACTTGGGGCATGTTTCTTAACCTCTGAGGCTAGACTCTCTAATCTGTAAAATGGGGATAATAAGATCTATGACCTAAAGCTATTGAGAGGATTAAGTGAGTTCAGTGCCTGGCACAACCTAAACACTCAGAAATATTACTTTTCTTCCCCTTTCCTGTCTTACAAAGAACCGCGTGTTTCTTAGTTATTCTATTCACTCGTGGACTCTACAGAGGATGACTGGAGCTTACTTAAAGGCAAAACAAAATCCATCCCAGACTGATGATCTGATTCAGTCACTTTTCTAAAACCCAAATAATTGCCTGAGCTTTGAAACAGCAGAAGCGGCAAGGATGTCCTTAAGTGGTTCAGCAGCTGGCTGCTGCTTTTCTTATTAATTAAATGACACAAATAGGTCATAATAAAACCAGAGCCAATCAGCCCCCCCTCAAATTACACAAACTCAACTCTCCTGACAAGTGCTGCAGAGATCAAAAGGACGAGGAATCAATAGGATTACAGAGTTTGAAATTCTAACGTCTTACCCATGGTGAGTCTGGGACCTCGAACTCTCCAGCAGTGCTCAGACCAATATCATTGCCTCAGATGGAGAGGAATTCTTTATACTAATACACCTTGAAACCTGGGATGGAGTTAAGAACATGCTTGGAATTTCATCATGTCCAGGTAGAAACCTGAATTGAAGTGGCTGTTCTGGAGGATCAAAGGAAAAAAAGTACATCAAGAATAAATACATGACTAATCCCACTGCAGCCAAAGGAGGAAGCTAATGGGCCTAATGAAGAGGGTGGTTAGGCCCTCTTCAGGAGCTCCCACCATGTAGGGCACACTTCCAGAGAGACACAAACTAGCAGGTGCATCACAGAGCAGGCTGGTCCACGCAAGTGATGCTCTGGGGCATCATCTAACAGAACCAAGGGACACAGCTGGGTGTTGAAAGCAGATGCTGTGAAGAAAGGAGTCTGAGGCTGGGGTAGTAGGCAGTGGCCACTTCTTTCCTGGAACCAGCACTGTGCCTTAATACCTTCCATGAGAACAAGTGTCAGTAGAGTGAGATATGCAGGGGAGAGGGCCTCTGGGAGCAGACCTAAGTTTAAATCCTGATTCCAGGACATGCTAACTGTATGAATGTAGGCAAGTGACTCTGCCCTTTCTGGGCTTTGGGTTCTTCATCTACCAAATAGGAGAAAGATTTTCAAACTGAAATAATTGTTTGAGAATAAATTGAAATGAAATATAACATATGGAATTGTTTACACCAGAGGCGTTCAACAGATGCACCTCACAGTGAGGTTGTCTCTGGTAGTCCTGGAGGTTTGCAGCTTCCCCAACAGCAGCACTGAGCCTCCTATTTCTTGGCCTTCTACTCCCATAGGATGCCCTCCATCCACCTTAGCAAGCTTCCCTTCCCCTCCCTAGCTCAGCACAGCCACCTCATTCTTGGCTCTGTTCTATTAGCTGTGTGTGTGTGTGTGTGTGTGTGTGTGTGTGTGTGTGTGTAGAGTTACATGTATGTAGGAGCTGAACTTACAGGATGTCTCCACAAAGTTTGTAAATGGAATGTTTGTAACTCAGAACACATGGCCCCATTGGTTACAATATTTCCCTTGGACATTCTGACTCCGTGGGTAACGGGAGGGTCCTGGAATCCGCATTCACCAGGTAGCTCCAGATCCTTGGTATCAGTGTGGTTTGGCAGCTCTGGCACCCAGGAGCTTGTTAGAAATGCAGAATCTGAGGCTTCACCACAGTCCCGCTGAACCAGAAGCCGCACTTCAAAAAGACATGCAGGTAGAGTTGCCAGATAAAACTCAGGATGGCCGACACAATTCTAATTTCAGATAAATAATGAAAAAGTTTTAAAATAGAAGGATGCCCCAGAAGTATACCTGTGGTTTTGTTTGCTAAATCTGGCGACCATATCCTCAGTTGGTTTTTGTGCAAGTTAAAGTTTGAGCAGCACTGGTTTAGATCGGTAGACCTCAAACTTTTGCATGCCTCCGAAACACGTAGAGGCCTTGTTAAAGCCAAGAGTGCTGAACTCTGCCCCTAGAGCTTCTGATTCGGTGGGTCTAGACAGAGGCCTGGGAGTCCGCATTTCTAACAAGTTTCCTGTTGCTGATGGACCACGTCAGCAGAGTACCAGGAGTGCCACAGACCTATCTGTGGCCAGGTTCCCAGGTCAGCACACAAAAATCTCTGCAGTTCCTAGGGCTGGGGTAAGATAAGGGTTGGGGTTTCCTCCAGCACTCATAATCTATGAATTAAGAAAGAGAATAGCAGTCTGAGTACAAGCCAACAGCCTATAAACCCTGACCACCCTTTGTAACAGGGTCTGTAAGGATAAGGGCATGAATGCTTTTGTGGAGTGCCTTGAATTCATTTTCTTCTGACTTCCTCTTTCTTCCCTGTTTCCAGGCTACTGGAGGTGGTTCCCTGAGCACAGAGGGGCAGGATGGGAAGGCTGGGGACAGATAGATTTGAAGCAAGGACAAACCTCTTAAGGGGATGGGTGAGGGTGGAGTCATATCTGAGAGTGGGGCAGGGAGAGACCAAGTGGGCAGCATGAGAAATGGGGTGGCCAGTGTTGAAGAGTGAGAAGTGAGAAGAGGAGGGGACATGGGGCAAGGCTGGCTTCTCAGGACTGAGTGGACTCAGTTGAAGCAGTCATTGGAGCTCAGAAGAAGGACATCAGCTCCTGGAATCTGGGTCTTAAAACCCCAGCTCTGCAAGGATCAGCCTCGTGACCTTGTGCATGTTCTACCTCTCTGAGCTTTAATTTCCTCATGTGAACAGTGCCTCCTCCCCCTTCATTGAAGGAAGACTTCAGAGCAAAGATGAGACCATGCATTCAGATAAAATTCCTAATTACTTGATTAGGAGCTCAGTAAATGATAACAGTTGCTATTTTAGTTTCAAGAGTTCCAGAAGGCAAAAAAAGTTTAATGCTACTTTAGAGTAACATTCTGTTTTAGAGAATCTCCTGACCTATATTTAATTTCATATGATAACAAGTTTAGGGGAAATGTCCTCCATACTCTGTGGCGGTAGAGGCCTCTTAGAAGTAGTCTGCATTATTAATAAGATGCACATTCCCACCTGACCTCTCACCTCTATCCACTCTGGCTCCTACTGGCTCAGGCCGAATGGCAGGGCCCATGGAAGAGTTGAAGTCTGGACTTCTACGGAACAGGTCCCTGTCCCTCAGCCAGTACAGTAGGAAGGTCAGCTGGACATCGCTCTGTCTGGTGAGAGTCATCAGATGACAGATCAGAGTGGGCCAATCTAACCCAATAGCTTTATATCCTTGTGAACACAGCCCAAGTGTTCCTCAGTGAGTTTCTGTGCCTTGTTTTATAATATTTTATTTTATTGTCAGTAGGAACATACAGTACAATTGCCTATTTGATGTACAGTTACTTCTGTGAATGTTAACATGGTACATATTGGTGTGACTGCTACTACAGTCAGGACACAGAACAGTTTTATCACTTAAAATTGTACTGGTGCCATCCCTTTGTTAGTCACACCTTCCCCCACCCTTGACCCTTAGCAACTATACTTTTTTGACATTTCAAGAATGTCTTATAAATGGAAGAAATGCTGCTGAATGAAAACTTCAGCCTTGCCTTAGTTTATATTCTTAAATAAAGTCAGCAAAACTTTAAAAATTATTTGACATAAAACTGAATATGAGAAAATCCATTTGTAAATAAGACTTTCATTTTTATTGTCATACTTCCCTTCTCTCCCTATACACTTTCCTTTAATTCTTTGTGAACTTTCTTCTTCCAGAAGACTCCTCCTATTGGTTCCCCAGAACTTCCTTATTCTCTTGCCCTGCGCCTTTCTTCCTGTACTCTGTTACTCTCTTTTTGTTGCTCTCTCAAGAAGTCAGTTCTGAGCATAAACTGAGCAGCGTGACATGGGGAAAAGCACATGTTCCTTGAAGACACACAGATCTCAGTATCAACCTGAATCTGATAGTGCTATGGGCAGAGTTGGCCTCCTTGAGCCTCAGTTTCCTCAGGGCAGAATAGCATCTCTCCCCCTTCATCCACCCCCAGTGAGTGGGAGAGAAGATGAAATGAGGGGACAATACAAAGCCCCCCAAGAGCAAGCAGCCAATTACAGGAAGTTATTAGGCTGTACTATCAGTAGTACAAGTGCCCATTATTATGAGTTTACATCTCCTTGGCCATCACAAAGGCCTAAGACCATCCACTGGAGGCTGCCATATTGGTATAATGCAAAAAATCATGCAATATCAAAAAGGTTAAAAACAGTACACTAAACTTTCATTTTTCATCCATTGTCCTGGTAGCATGTGAAGTTCAGCTCACATAAGGGGAGGCACCCAAAGAGCTTGCTCTGCCACTGAATCCTTGTGTGGCCTTGACTGTGGCACTTTGACCTCCTCAGTCCTTGGTTGTTGTTTATATATATATATACGAAAATGTGATGCTGACCTCAAAGCTCTCAATGCTTTCTCTTGCCTCCGAACTTCTAAAACCCAGGAACACACAGACTGCTTTAGAATTTAGTAAATTCTTAAATACTCTTTCCCTATTCCAACTGGTTTGAAACTATTTGCTGATCCTGAAGGTGTGGACCAACCCCTCTCCTGCTTATATTTGTGACATCTTATTGGGTCTGTACAGAAGCTTGGAGAGATTATTAGGTGAATCAATGTATAAACAATGACTAGATAACTGACTTATCTAGTCTGGGAAAGGAAAAAGAGACAAGGGAAAGTCTAAATTAAGAAAGAAGTTCACTCAATTGGTTTCTGCCTTGTAGACACAATTCAGTAATAATACACGCCAATCATCAATTTCCTGGGCATTTAATACGTGCCAGGCACCAGGATGGGCGCCCTACCTGTTATCTCATTTAGTCCTCATAACACATTTGGTAAGGTGTTGGAATTGCTATTTTAATTTATTTTTTAACTGGTAAGAACCTGACCCTGAGAGGTATAGGAGATCACCCATAGTTATACAAGGTAGTATGTGGGAGAAGACTAGACAGAGCTGAATAAAGTACAAGTAATTTCAGAACAAGAATTACGTTCATTCCCATCATGAAAGGGAAGACAGCGGTCTCCAAGTGCTGGCTTCATCCCCCTCTGAGTCCTTAGTGCCAAAAAGTTCTTGAATGTGACTAGCCCTCCCTGACTATGGGCTGAATGAATAAAGATATAAAGGTAAAGAAGGAGAGGGAAGCCGGAGTAGGAAGTCAAGAGAGAGGGAGGGCAGAGTGCACTGAGGAAAGAGGAAGAGGAAAGCATGGAGGTCAGATGGGTGTTGGACAGCTAGCAAAGGCTAACTCTAGGAAAGCACACTGAGAGAGCACAGAAAGAAGAGTGAGACCTTCAGGGATGCAGTTACCCAAAAGAACTGTGATGAAGACAGGAAGCATTGGAGATGTTGGATCTGAGAACAGCAGGAGCTGAGGAATGTTCTCTCTGATCTCGGAGCTGAGAACTCCACCAGATTCCCCCTTGCCATCTCCAGTTCCTGGCTGCCAAAGAGACCAGTATTTCCCAAACAGGAAAGAGTTTTTTCTTTTCAATAAAACTCAGATTAAAGAGACAAGATTTGTCCATTAGAACATTCTTAAACAGTGCTTTTACTCCCAATCATTCTATGAAGAAAACAACCTGTATAATGATGGG